ATCTTTCTAATTACTTCTCTCTCCGTTTTTCTCTCTTTCTTTATTTTCTCGTCACTTAAAGAAAGTCACTGATGATGAAGAAATAAATAAACTAACAATATTTGGTTTCGTTTTCTACTGAAGTGACAAAAAATAAACAAAAAAAGAACATGTTCCAGGGGAGGTGGGGGACATTAAGTCTGAGTGGACCATGTTCCGTACCTCCATTGTCGAGGCGGCTTACCTGAGCTGTGGCTGTAAGGTTGTCAGTGCTTGTGGTGGCGGCAACCCTCAAAGCCACTGGTGGACACCAGCGGTGAGGGATGCTGTCAGGCTGAAGAAGGAGTCCTATTGGGTCTTTTTAGCCTGTGGGACTCCAGAAGCAGCTGATAGGTATTGGCGGTCCAAGTGGACTGCGGGTCAGGTAGTCGCTGAGGCAAAAAATCTGGCGTGGGTGGAGTTCAGAGAGGCTATGGAAAAAGACTTCCGTATGGCTTCAAGGCGATTCTGGTCCACCATCCGGTGTCTCGGGGTTGAAAGTGGTTCACCAACAACACTATTTATGGTGGGGATGGTGCGCTGCTGACCTCAATTCGAGACGTTGTGGGTCAGTGGACAGAATACTTCRAAGACCTCATTCCTACCGACACATCTTCCCATGAGGAAGTAGAGCCTGAGGACCCTGGGTCGGACTCTCCAATCTCTGGTGGTGAGGTCACTGAGGTGGTTAAAAAGCTCCTYGGTRGCAGGGCGCTGGGGGTGRATGAGATTCACCCAGAGTTCCTTAAGGCTCTGGATGTTGTGGGGTTGTGTTGGTTGACGTGACTCTACAACATCACGTGGACATTGTGGGCAATTCCCCTGGATTGGCAGACCGGGGTGGTGGTCCCCCTTTTGGTCCGCCAAACCTTTTTTAGCGTGGATGCTCATATTTCAAATAAAACTTCCAGACTCCCACCTATGTGACGCGCATGCGCTGTTTACAGGATTAAACAACAGGTTGCTACGGTGAATGCTACTTCTTAGCTTGTTCGTTGTAAAGTTGTTATTCAATCAGAACCGGTAAAATAATTATCTGACGTGCTTGTTTAGTTCACTGTTTATGTTTTAACCACCCTGTTGTCGGATGCTCCGGTGAAGCTTGTATTTTATAAAATGTGAGCGACGTGACGTGCTGCAAGTGAAACTAACACAAGTATTGATCTACTTTAGTTTCGACACGGTCCAACACCACTGCTATCAGATGTTTCTATGATTTCGCCGTCATCAAGAAGATGGAAAATTCAAAGAAAAAGATGRAGCAACTGGACTTCTGTTCTGTAGCTGAGGACGAGTGGTGCTACAAGATTTAAACTGCATGACTTGAGGTTAGTATCATTATTACTTGGATCAATCTGTAAAGCCCCACCTCACATGAGACATGAGGTCTGACTGTTTATACAAGTGGTTCTCAGTCCTGGTGCTTGAGGACCACTATCCTGCATGTTTTGGATGTTTTCCGTCTTTGGTACACCTGATTTGATTGACAGGCTTCTGCAGATCTTAAAAACCTGCTGAGGAGCAGGGAAACAACTAAATCATGAAGGGTAATGGTCCTTGAGGACCAGAATAAACCACTGGTTTAAACTGAGGTTCATTTTGACAAACATATGTTTCTAATTCAGTGCCATATTTTTTATTAATTTAATTTAAAATCAAAGGAAATTCCCATACAACAAAATAATACAAATCAAATAAAATTAAAGGWAGCAGAAAGAAGAAAATCTTATATCTGATACGTACTGATATCTGATAATAAAACAAAGCAAAAACAACTCCTCAAACAGCAGCTCTTATAAATACAAATTTTACTATTTCAAATTTCTTTAGCAAATTAACTTTTATCGTTCTTTTAAATAAATTAACTGAGCCACATTTTTATAATCACTATCCAGATTATTCCACAAGCTTATTCCTTTGACTGAAGTACTACATCTGTTCTTCAAACTGGTTCGAATTAGATTTTACAAACATCTCTATTACCTTAATATTATAATAAMTAAGTAAGTTATAACTCAGTAAGTACTCGTATCGGTACTCTGTATTGGCGAGTACCCAATCTGAAGTACTTGTACTCAGTTTGAGAAAACCTGGTATCGGTGCATCCCTAATAGTGAATTTCAGTGACACTGGGTATAAATGTGACGATGGGATGGCTTCAGTTCAAATCTGCACGCCAGAAACAGTCCCATGTTTTTAATATGAAACAGTCATCTTGGATTCACTCTGAGTGAAGGTTTGGCTAGTTCTTTGTTTCATTTGGAACATTTTTATTTATCTCAAGATGTGTGCTGGACTGCTGTCTTTTTYTTACGCACTGCTCCCAATATGTCCCTTAGTGAACAAAAAGAAAGTGACTTGAATGACTGTGTGCTGCAGAGGATAACTGAATCACTAAAGTCTGACTTTCAAAGTGATACAACGTTCAGCCAAATCAAACCAACTGGCAGCTTTTATTTCAGATTGTGACCTGTGAAAATAAATGCATTTGGAGCTGTTGTGATGAAAGCAGGTTTCAGAGACAAACGGACCAGAATGCCATCTGTGGGACATACCACTTTTAAATTTTTAAAGGCCGATATTTATAAATGTCTTTTATAATTATATGAAATCTGGATAAGTTTCTTCATGTTCTTTATAATCACACCTCATTTCTCCATGCCAGGATGGTTTACGTGTTGTAATTGTTTGTATAATGTAGAATTAGCTGTAAATCAGTTTAACTTATTAGTGAGAATCTGCTAAACCATTTTTTTCAAATGGTAAAAGATTAAATTAAAGATTAAATCTTCCACACTCCACACAAAATGTGAAGATAAAATGGATTTCATTTTTGGTCTTGGTGCAAACAGGGCCTTTAACCATGGTGGTGTGGCAGCTCCTCCTTTGGGTGGGGTGGCAAAGATGACCTCTCCTGGGTAAGAAGGCCATAATAGCATCTATGCTCTTGCAGCATGTTATTACATCCTATATTTACACGAAACAGGGGTGGCAGGTCACGACGTGAAGCTACGGGGGGTGAAGATGCTGTGGTGCATGTCGTATTAATCACACAACCTGACATTACTGGAGATTATAGGACCGCTCAGCCTGTAATGTGGTCTTTGATGYAATTTGCCGGTTGTAGAAGGATAATTTACAGCACATTTATGGGATTACTGTTATCTAATATTCATCAGCCATTTAATTTGAATAGTTTAGCATAATGTAATTTGTTTTTCTTTTGTTTTTNTTCTTTGGGTCTTTATGAATTGAAAATTGTAAATGTGTTGGAAACAGCCCTGACATCAGCAGCTGTCAGGTCAGGTGACTTCACAGTCCCAGGTGTTAAAAACTCTGAACTGTAGGGATGTAACGAGACTCTCGTCTCACCAAACGATACTGGTTTAATGAGACAAAACAGGATTTTAATCAGAAAAAAAGAAAAGAAACAGTTTTTGCTCCAAACTTAACCTATTCCCTGTCTAATTTCTTATTATGTCCTTTGAAATGGTGTTTCAACCACTCTCATCCTTCCACCTTCATCAAAGCTCTGACTGTTTTTAGGGATCAAACTCCTTTTAAACAGAGGCCAAAGTTAAAAGCCCTGAAAATGTTTATTCACAAAGATTCTCTTCAGAGTTCTGACTTTTTTTCTCTAAAATACAAATGATTTATCACAGGTTAAAATTGTTAGCATAGTTTTTTTTCCATTGCTGTTTATAGGTTTGCTAAAAAAATGTAATTTGATGAGAAACGTGATTTTTTTTATGCCCTCCCAATATTATGTCACCCATACAAAACTATTAAAGAACAGACTTCAGATTTACACTGTAATTTACCTTTGGGATTAGTAAATGAGTAGAGCAGAGTACTGCAGTGCTATAAGGCAAGCTTTGAACACTTTATAAACTGCCTGAACAATGTTAGATGATATAATCCCCAACATATCCTCTGCCTGAAAAAGCTTGAAACCAAATCTTTGCACAGGTTATTTTCCAAACTGAACTGTCAGGACTTCATTGATAGATGATTGGCATGTTCATCATTTCTTTATGTGAAGCTATGAAAACTTCTGGATTCTATAAGATCTGTTCTGAGTATTTTCACGTCTGCCTTTCTTTATACCAGTATGTAACCAGACCACCCAGAACTGATTATAGTGACAAGTGTTACCAGGGTATGTATGTTGGGAATAAACCTGTGCATTTCTGTAAAGTTATGATGTGCATCTTATATTGTTAGCCACATCTGTCTTTTATTGTTTGCAGGAACTGTGAACAATATTTGAACCTAGGACAGTCAACGGGCCACATTGTTTCGAAATAACTTTTCAATTGTTTCTGTCGTCTTGAGTTAAGCAGTTAAAATATTGACTCATAAAATAGAATAACTTTTATTAGACACTTAGTTGAATCCAACACTTGTCACCTCTCATCACTGTTCAACTTTCTCTTCTGTCATCCACAGTCACATGCCAGGTTCTTCACTTATTGAAGCACATTCTCTTCTCCAGGGCCATGAACTCCACACTCTCCCAGCATCTCTTCTTCATTCATCCAACCAGGAGCAGCCAGGAGAAAGGCTTTGTTGACCATCCAATCAGAAAGTACTACCCATATGGCCTCCATGTCCCCTCATCCTCAGTCTGGAAGACTGTTACCATATCATTGGACTGGAGAACTTTTTCTCATGCAGTGCAGACGTGACATCAGTTCTAAGTAATAAAACAGGCCTCAGATACTCACATAATTCACATTTTTACATTATTTGGTTGAATGTGTTACTGTCTGCCCTGTTTGTGTTGTTACATTGAAATAAATGTGATCAACCCTGTTTTGAGTTGACATGAAATGATTTATAATATTATAAACCACCTGTGATTTTTAGACAAAATAAAAGAAGTGTTGAAAATATTCGGTTTGACTCTTTCAATTCATTATTTTTACTGTAAAAATTTGAAGTTAAAACATTTGACGTAATCATTACATCATTTTGCTCTTTTTAAATAAATGGCTTTTTAAGTCAGGATGTTTTTAAATGACTTTTGATTTCTAACTCCTAATATATTCATACAACCTCAACTCATTCACATGTTCTGGCTTGAAGGCTTCTCTCAGACACACTCCTGCAGCGAGTCAGAGCTTGGACCAGCTGGTGCAGCATGAAAGTTTGCAACTGCTTTCAACATTAGCCTATGTCAGCAATAATGCTAACATCACTTTTAACACAATCACACAAAGAGACACACACACACACACACATGTTCTTCTATTCTCATGGGGATTTTGCATTGACTTCCTTTCATTTACTGGTCATATTTATAGCCTAACCCTTCCTTCTACCAGTCACTAGAAGGAACTCTTCTAAAAAAATCTAAATATTTATTTTGATTAGACCCACTGTAAACGTTGTATATACACCTACCAGACCACGCCTCCAACCGTTCCCGAAACCTCCCCTAATTCTCACCCTACTCTGTCTAAACGTCCCTTCTCAGAACTCTCCTCCCTTCCTATGAAGCATGGCACATGACGAACACTCAATGTACTGGCTGAGTAYTACTCAAACAGTACGCCTGCACTCAGCAGAATGTGCCATCCTTATTTCCTTACATCTTGCTCAGCACATAAAGATCAATTGGTCGTCTCCAAAAGGAACAGCCGACTCCACCATGCACTTCCCAAAAAGGATAGGACCCAGTGGCCCAGGACTGGACCTGATCTCAAGCGAGCGTGCACTTCCTAAGGTTAGGGTGACCAACTCTGCAGAGCCATCGGGCGGCAGGTGCAGGCCTGGCATGGCTAATTGGGAGGACTGGGAATTTTCCCAGTGGGCCAGTCTGATGTTTGGGCCAYAAGGGTTGATAACATATTAGTTATTGATCAGATCATTGCTACTGTTGTCCCTGTATCACCAGGCAATTACATGATACAATGGCCTGCCTTAAACCCAGGGCTGCCTCTGCCTCAGGAACCAGTCTCCTCCAGAGGGGTTGGACACTCTTCCACTCTGGAGTTGCCCATGCTGAGAGGCACTGAGCAGGAGTGGGAATACTTATTGCCCCCCATCTTGGTGCCTGTACGTTGGGTTTCACCCCGGTGAATGAGAGGGTAGCCTCCCTCCGCCTTTGGGTGGGGGGACGGGTCCTGGCTGTTGTTTGTGCCTATGAGCCTAACAAACAGTTCAGATTACCCAACCTTTTTGGAGTCCTTGGAGGGGGTGCTAGAGAGCACTTCTGATCAGGACCCCCCCGCCCCCGGATCTGAACGCGAGTGGTGTTTTGTTATTGGACTTCTGTGCTCATCATGGATTGTCCATAACAAACATCATGTTCAAACATAAGGGTGTCCATATGTGCTCTTGGCACCAGGACACCCTAGGCTGCAGTTTGATGATCGACTTTGTTGTTGTTTCATCTGATCTGTGGCCGCATGTTTTGGACACACGGATGAAGAGAGGGGCAGAGCTGTCAACTGACCAATACCTGGTGGTGAGATGGCTCCGTTGGTGGGGGAGGATGACGGTCAGACCTAGCAG